TCCCGGGACTCCAGGATCATGACCTGAGCCGAAGGCAGTCGCTTAACCAACTGAGCCACCCAGGCACCCTACATACCATATCTTCTTTATCCATTTGTCTCTCGAAGGACATTTAGGTTGCTTCCATATCTTGGCTATTATAAATAATGCTGCAATCAAACATAGGGGTGCATATGTCTTTTGAAGTTAGTGTTTTCATTTTCTTTGGGAAAGATACCTAGAAGTGGAGTTGCTGGATTGTATGATAATTTTATTTTTAATTTTTTGAGGATGCTCCATACTGTTTTCCATAGTGCGTATAGCAGTGGGCATTCCCACTAACAGTGCACAAGGTTTCCCTTTTCTCCACATCCTCACCAACACTTATTAGTGCAGAATTGCTAAACTATTTTTATTTTTCCTATTATTTGGATGACAGTGTTATCATCAAACTTTTATATGGAATTTTTGTTATTATAGATGGTACCTTCTAAAATTCCTAGCTATTTAGTGGTAATCAAGATGGTAAAACACCATAATATATAGGAATAACAACAGGACAAGGAGAAGGAATCAAAGATCCAGTACTTAGTATTATTTCTTTGGTATTATTTACATTTTACCTTAAATAAGATACAAGTTCATTAAATATATTATTTTCCTATTTGTGTAATGGGGAAAACAGTTTCAAAAATCATTTATCTTCCTTGGAAAAATGTACTGTATTAAAATGTGTAATTTTGTGATTTGTGTGTTTGTGGCTAAAAGGCTCACATTCTTCTGAAAGTACAGTCTAAATTGGAAAATAGTAAAAGTGGCATATTCACAAAATAAGGTACATTCTAAATCAGTATAATTGCATCTTTCATTATGTCTTTTGAAAATTTTATTAGAAAAGGAAAAATACTCAGAATCTGCAGAGTTTTAGGGAGACCAGCATCCAAGGAGTTGGGGACAGAAGTCAGACTTACTTTAGTCAAGTTGTTCTTCAACATCACAGTGGTTTTCTCCATACTTCCCAGTGTCTTTTCCACTATGCCCTCCCATCCCCCTCCCTGCCAGGTTTCCGTGCATCCTTTCTCACACAAAGGAGGCTAGAAGAGGAACTTCTGAAGCTGGAAGGTGATTATTAGAGGAGTTAGTTACTTTGCTATGAAAAATTTAATCATTCTTCATGAGAATGGTACTGCTGCATCTTCTTACACTTGAATTTTGACATAATTTTCTGTGAAACATCAGAAGCTCTTCAAGCCACAACTCCCAAAAAGGTGTGTACCTCTCTATATATTTGAGATTTGGTATATAATATTTATAAACAAAAGCAGAATTTTTCATGGGGTTAAGTATCTCCTTAACAATCATTCCATACAGCCAGATTAGAAACTGTTGACTAGAGGAATTGCTTGTAAAGAGTGTTAAACAAGTACTTGAATGTAAACACATCAACTATATATTGGTAAAAAAATGAGATCTGTGATAGGTTAAAAATAAAATTTTTAAAAACACATGATATTGACTCTGAGATAGACTTATAGTTTATAATTTTATGACTCATTCAATTTGGGGGGGTTGGATAGGTTTTTAAATTTTTTTCTATCTTTTTTTGAGATAATTGTATATTTGCATGTAGTTGTAAAAAAAATAATGCAGAGAGATACCATATTTCCTTCACCCAGTTTCCCCCAATGGTAATATCTTGCATAAATGTAGTATAATATCACAATCAGGAAATCCACATTGGTACAATCCAGTGATTTTAGTCAGATATCTCCAGTTTTACATGCACTCATTTATGCGTATGTGCATGTGTATGTGTGTTCAATTCTGTGCAGTTTTATCATATGTAGATTCATATGATCATCATCACAGTCAACACACAGAACAGGTTTATCACAAGGATCCCTCCTACTACCCTTTCAAAACCACAGTCACCTCCCTATTTGCCCCTACCTCCTTGATCCCAGCAAACCTCTAGTTCTGTTGTCCATATCCATCATTTTGTCAGTTCAAGAATGCCATAAATGGAATAATATACTATTTAACCTTTTGAGATTGGCATTTTTTACTCAGCAATATTCCTTTGAGACCACCTAAATTGTATCAATAGATTGTTCCTTTGTATTGCTTAGTAGTATTCCATGTATGGATTGGTACAGTTTGTTTACCCGTTAAAGGATATGGGAGTTGTTGCCTGTTTGGGGCTATTTCTAATAAAACTGCTGTGAATATTTGTGTACAGGTTTTTTTTGTTTTGAGAGAGAGCGAGAGCTGAGGGGGGAGGGGCAGAGGGAGAGGGAGAGAGAATCTCAAGCAGGTTCCATGCCCAACACGGAGCCCAACACGGGGCTCAATCTCAGAGCCCCGAGACCATGACCTGATCCGGAGTCAAAAGTCAGACACTTAACCAACTGTACCAGGTGCCCCTGTGTACAGGTTTTTATATGAACATTTGCATTTCTCGGGATAAAGTGTGCAATTGTTGGGTTGAATAGTAAATGCAGTGTTTCATTTTGTAAGACACTGCCATAGTCTTTTTCAGTGTAGCTGTACCATTTTACATTTCCACCTGCAATGTATTAGTGATCCTGTTTCTCTACATCCTCACTAATAACACTTGATATAATCCCTATTTTTTTTTCAATTTTAGCCATTCTGACAAATGTGTACCGATGACTCAATGTAGTTATTATTTGCATTTACCTAATGGCCAGTGATGTTGAATATCTTTTTGTGAACTTGCTGTCTACATATACTCTTCACTGAGATGTCTTTTGTCCATTTTCTAATAGGATTTTTTTAAAAAAGAAAAGAGAGGAGGCCAGAGAGGGGGAAAGAGAGAATCTCAAGCAGACTCCCTGCTGAGCATGGAGCCCAATGGGGGGCTCGATCTCATGATCCTGAGATCATGAGCTAAGCTGAAATCAAGAGTCAAGCACTTAAAAAAAAAAAAAAAAGTCAAGCACTTAACCGACTAAGCCACCCAGGTGCCCCTCTAATAGGATTTTTTAATACTGTTGAGTTTGAGTTTTCAAAGTTCTTTACATTTTCTAGATACAAGTCCTTGACAGAAATACCTTGCAAATATTTTGTTCCAGGCCATGGCCTATCTTTTTATTTTCTTCACAGGGTCCTTCCTAGAGTATACATTTTTAATTTTGACTAAAGTCATTGGCTACTGTAACAAATTACCATAAATTTGGTGCCTTAAAAAACCCAGAAATTTATTCTTTCATAGTCTGGGACCAGAAGTCTAAAATCAAAGTGTCAGCAGCCTACTCCGAAGGCTTTAGGGGAGAATCTTCCTTGCCTCTTCCAGCTTCTAGTGGCTCTAAGTGTTCCTTGGCTTGTGGCTGCAAAGCTCCAATCTTTGACTCTTCTGCTTCCTCCACTGGGTCTCTCTTCTGTACATCTCTTATAAAAACACTTAATGACTAGGTTTGATTTAGGACCCACTCAAATAATCCAGGATGATATTGTTCTGAGGTCCTTAATTATACCTGAAAAGATCATTTTTCCAAAGAAGTTCACATTCAAGGTTCCAGGGATTTGACAAGGACATATCTTTTGGAGGCCATCATTCAACACACTACAGAGGGGAAACCATTGGAATGCATTGGGTGGGCATGGAGGTGCAGCATCCTGCTGGGCCTTGGTGACACTGGGGATCGGGGAAGGACAGTGAAGTGAATAGTGACCCACACTTCTTTGCAGTAGCTGGCTAAGTCTTGTTGTTGCTAAGTGGGGGACACAGGACCCCAACTGACACTACCCCAGGAGGGATATCAAGGGACCACTCCCTGCTTTTGCTGGGTGGAAGATGGAAAATCAGCTCCCTACTTAGTCAGTCTATACCACCTGGAAGGGTAGTCATAGTGCCACTTCTGCTCAACTCTGTCAGAGCACCACCACCTGCTTCTGTGGGATGGAAACAAGGTGGAATGTAAGATCACCTCTCTACTTTGCCCCACTGAAACCAGAGTGAGTGGGCGCAGGTTTTAGGTTGACATTTGGCTGCTGTAGATTTTGTTCCATTAGGCCACCCTTTTGTTCATAGCTACTTCTAGAGCTATGAGGAAGAAGCTTTTGTTGTTGTTCCTGCCAGATAGTGGTTCCAGGTTCCTGTTTGGAATATATGGAAGGCAACAAGGAGACCCTGACAATGACTGCTATGTCATTCCTCAAGTCCTAAGGTCCCTAGGCAGTTTGCCACCTTCTTTCTACATATGCTTGAATCTTCATATGCTTATATGCACAGTCTTTTAGTTTTAAGAGGAAGGATTTGGGAGGAATGGGTTACTACATCTTGGCCAGAACCAGAAACTGATTCATGATTCATTCAATTTTAAATTTTAGATATCATTCTTCATACATTCTATTGGAATTCTTCTCAATTTTTATGAGATCATAAAAAGATCTTTTTATTTGTAAATGATCAGTTTAAGCAGTAAGCAAAGAAAGAACAATTTAAAATATATTTTAATTTTTAATTAGTGCTGACCTCTGACTGTGTATGTTTTCTTACTGATCCTTTTGCAGAGCCTTTTCCAGGGGGAAAAAAGCAACAGATAAAAGTGCATTAAGAACATTTGGGCGCCTGGGTGGCTCAGTTGGTTAGGCGACTGCCTTTGGCTCAGGTCATGATCCTGGAGTCCTGGGATCGAGTCCCACATCGGGCTCCCTGCTTGGCGGGGAGTCTGCTTCTCCCTCTGACCCTCCTCCCTCTCGTGCTCTCTATCTCTCATTCTCTCTCTCTCAAATAAATAAATAAAATCTTTAAAAAAAAAAAAAAAGAACATTTGTTATTAGGCGCCTGGGTGGCTCAGTTGGTTAAGCGACTGCCTTCAGCTCAGGTCATGATCCTGGAGTCCCAGGATCGAGTCCCGCATCGGGCTCCCTGCTCAGCAGGGAGTCTGCTTCTCCCTCTGACCCTCCCCACTCTCATGTGCTCTCTCTCTCTTTCTCTCTCTCAAATAAATAAAAATCTTTAAAAAAGAAGAACATTTGTTATTAACATCATTCTTATATGAGATTAAAAACTATATTTAATGCTGTTCTCTTGTACAACTATGAGTTCTTATTTCCACAGAATGCCTTCAGTAATTTGTACAAGGATACAGTCTAGAATAGTGTAACAGTATTTATGCATACTGACTTGGAAGTAAACTGCAGTAACTGCCACACATGCTTTTCTATGGCCTCACTCCTTTAGGAATGATGAGTGACCGCTATGATGGTATCCACGTCCTACTGGAGCTCTGAGTGTCTGTATTCCATCCTTTGCATTGAGGACGAAGCTTACTAAGTTGGAAGGCATGGTTGCTTCAATTATTGATGGGGACAATTTTCCTCTCATTTCTGTCTGGATAAACATCACTAGTTTGGAATGTGCTGGGTTCCTGTAAACAAAGGAAGAGTTAAAAAATATAATGATTTTTAGATTTATCTATTGAATTTATAACTTTATAGAAAGCAGGATTCTTGTCTCATTCACCATGGATTCCCTCCAAAGTGCTGATGATAGGACAAACAGTTACTGAAGGAAGGGGGGAAGGAAGGATACAAAAAAAGGGCAGAGTGATTTGCACTCATAAACATTTTACATAAAAATATTAAGTAGTCAGACTATACGTTACAGTCTTCAGTCAGCTTTTCCTTTTTGTCATTTTGTTAACTTTTTTAAATTACAAAAGTAATGTATGCTTATAAAAATTTAAACAATACAGAATTTTCATAATTATCCTGTTCCCCAGAGCTAATCACTATTTATACTTTTGTCTGTATCTTTTCAGACTATTGTCTATGTATATACAAAGATAGCATACATATATGTATACCTACCCCACACATTGTTTTTTAAAAAATAAGATAATCTTTTTCTGCAACTAGCTTTCTTTTCCCTCTTAGTAGAATATCATGCACTTCTTTCTGTTGATACATACATATCTGCTTGTTTTTCATGACTGTATTATAATTATAGTATTTCATTCTCTATGTAATCAATCCTTTATTGATTATCATTTGGGTTTTTTCCTCACTTTTTCTACTATAAATAAAGCTGCAATAAAACATCTTTGTAATGTATCCATTTGCACTTCTACAAATACATGGAATTTCTAGGTCAAAGGTTTTGTGCATTTAATATTTTGAAATATTCTTTCTAAATGACATTAAGAGGACTGTAGTATTTTATATTCTAACCCAGTAATCTTCAAACTGGAGTATGTGAAGACTTTCCAAAGGGTATGAGAGAATGAATAACATTTAAAGGAATAAATTTACAAATCTCTAACTTCCATACGTACCTTTTCCCTAGACTGATCTGAGTCCATCTCTGATGGAAATGTAGGCTTCTCCTTTTCCACTAGCCTGTTCATATCATCCTTCTGTTGCTTTACAGAACAAAGGTACTGTCATCTTCCCTGAATACTATGGTACTTTAGCATACTGGCATATAAAAAAGTGGTACTCTGGCATATAAAAAAGTGAATGACAGAAAGTGAATGACTAGTGATTGGGTAATAAATCCTTACCAAGTCATGTCGTCAATTCTTTGCTTTCAATAGAATTTAAGGATCTAACTTAGTTGTCAGCTGATAGGTCATTAAAAATAGTTTTTGATTATAGGTCACTATGTAATTTATGGTACATAACACAAAAGAATTCAAGGCATTTAATGAAAGTCCTGGAATTACACTCTTTTCATTTTAACCCATTTATTTATGCAAACATTTTCTCAGTGCTTACATTCATAAAAATGCAAAGTAGAGTAGACAATAGTAAGTGCTATCTCATTTTATTAGTATTACCAATACACAGTTAAATGAGTTGTAATTGTTAGAAGCATGGACTCTGGAACCAGTTTGCACTGGTTTGAAGCTGAGCTTTGCTATTACCTATGTTTAACCTCGAGAAAATTACTTAATCTCTCTGGACTTCCATTTTCTTTCTGCAAAATGGAGATAGTAGTACTACCTACTTCACGAGGTTATTGGGAAGACCAAATGAATCAATATATGTAAATTGTTTATAAAGTTGCTGGCACAAAGTAAGTGCTATCTAAGTTTTGCTAATAATAAAAGGTGTGTTTTCATTAAGTTTGCTTTTATATTTAGTAGTTATGTAACATTTGGTAATATATTTTTTATTTTAATTATGTAATAATTTAATCTAGTACACACATATATTTTGTAACATTTAGATACTCAAGGTCACAGGAAATAAAATGGATTTTTAAAATTAAACACTTAATTTTTCAAAGAAGAATGACAGGGTGATTAATAAAAGAATAAAAGAATTCAAACCATAAAATATATTCTATTAGGACTAAATTATATGGGGGAAAAAAGTAAGAATGTGGGAGCAAGGAGAAAATCAATGATGTAAATTTCTGACTGTTAGAGGTTGTATGTATTTTGAAATTGATAGTTATGGTAGGTTTCCAGTTATTATGGTATTCAGAGTTTACTGGATATGTTTACAAGAATGATATAACACTTTTTTTAGAGTGTCAATATTTAGAGTGCTGAAAATTGCACCCTCTTAATCCTATGAAAAATTTTATTTTTTTTTAAACTTTTTATTTATTTATTCATGAGAGACAGAGAGAGAGAGAGGCAGAGGGAGAAGCAGGCTCCCAAGGAGCAGGGAGCCTGATGCGGGACTCGATCCCAGGACCCTGGGATCATGACCTGAGCCGAAGGCAGACGCTTAACCATCTGAGCCACCCAGGCGCCCAATCCTATGAAAAATTTTAATATTAATTTAAAAATGTGCAAGGCAAAGTACAGTTTTACAAAATTGTTTTGGGGGGTATGAAGACCACTCCTCCAACAAACCCTGTGTCCATTTTCTTATACTCTTGTCTATGGAGTTTAGACTATTTTCACAGTGCCTCGGGCAGCTAGATTGAGAATATTCACTAGCTTTTGAAAAGGTCTTAAAGTTTGCTAGGGCTTTAAATGCTTCAGAAGACCTTTCCAGTATTTACTAAACAGTACCTTTACTACTGATAATAAGTTTTATAAGTTTACTATATGACTTGTTTACAAATGTTGGCTGCCCAAAATGTTGTGCTGCATGGAAAGAGAAGATACAAAAGAGTCACTTTTTTGTCAGTACCTTTTTCTGAGACTATGGATGAGACTGTATCTTTTCCTCTAACAGGATGCTAAGCAGAGTTCCCACCCTAGATGGGATGTCTAGATCAGAGCTTTTGTCCCATGTTTTTTGCAGTGGAAAGGGAAAGTTGACAAGATGCAGGAAGGAGACTTAGCCTGTGAAACACACATCAGAATGTGTTGCTTCCCAACTACAGTCCCTGCCAACCATTGATTTATCCAACTGATCTGAAGCAGTAATCCATCCCTTGTTTTGATTTCTCCTGCTGTGGAGAATAAAGTCTTGACCATAGATTCAAAATTGACAGGTGGGTGGAAAGACCACCATTGTTACCATCTGCACCAATGATCCTGTCCATTAATGTACGTAATTGTGAATTTCAGTTCTCTAATTCAGTAGAGAAAACATTAAGGAATACAGTCTAAAATGTAATTTTATTTTGACTTTCTTCACTTTTTTTTTTCCTCCTCTGATTGAGAGGTTTTTATCTGGCCAATATAAAATTTGACATGTTTTTATGTGCCAATATCTTTTACTTGTATAATATCATTTAGCAAAAACTAAAACTTAAAGAATTTGTGAAATGATATACATTGAATTAATGTACATACCCTTACAAAATATGTGTATTTTATGTTACCATTTATCCCTAGGCTGGTTACTTATAGGCAGTGACTACTCTGATTTCTCTACCTCTTTCCAAATGTACCTATTGTAGGTCTCATTCTGCAGGTATTTGTAGGTAGTCCGCTGGAAAGAATTCATTTAAGGTAAAGCATTCATTGCTGATAAATGTGAGCATATTATAATTCGAGGGAAATGTATTTTTTTTTTTTTAAAGATTTTATTTATTTATTTGAGAGAGAGAGAGAATGAGAGATAGAAAGCACGAGAGGGAAGAGGGTCAGAGGGAGAAGCAGACTCCCTGCTGAGCAGGGAGCCCGATGTGGGACTCGATCCCGGGACTCCAGGAACATGACCTGAGCCGAAGGCAGTCGCTTAACCAACTGAGCCACCCAGGCACCCAAGGGAAATGTATTTTTAATTTACAAAAAGTCCTTAATAATTCACAGAAGTAACTCAAATGGAGACATAGAAATCACGAGGTTAACATTCACTGGGGATGAGGGGATAGAGGGAATGTGTATGTGTGACTAGTCCCAGAGACCTCAAATCATACTTTATAGGGAATTGTCCATTCTGATGATGAAAATACTTATAAAATTTTTTTAATTGCATTTAGGGGCCATTTTTTCCCCCTAACAATACGCTAGCACACACTCCTACCAGTGAGTTAGGAACCCTTTAGTAGAAATGACAAATTGAACTAAAAAACTTGTTAAAATAAAATAAACAAATGCAAGTAACACTTACTCTTGCAGAGGAGAACATATATAGCCACAAGCATGGTTATAACCACGGATATAATTTGAAGATGGAGGATGTGCTGGGAAATCCACACCGTTAGCTAAGCGATTTAAAAAAAATAAAATGAAGCCTATTCCACACAAAGATGAAAAATTCTATTTCAAGTAGCATATTTTTAAAAAATGTATGATACAGCATTTAATTTAATTTAGTTATTATCAGCACTGATATTAGTTTTATACGTGTATATATACATGTTTGTACATATGCATGTGTACACAGACCAAAATTGAGAAAATGCCAGTATGAGCACTACTGTCCTCTCAAATTTTCTCATGCTATTATCTCTAAAGATGCTGTTACCCTTTACATACAAGAAAAAGTATTAAAAGTATCATTTAATTACTTTCTGAGATTTGGAGCAAAAGAAGAAATCACAAAGGAAAAGACTATTTCATTAGGATAGTGGGTTTATAAGATTTTTTTTGGTTAATCATTTTTTAAAGATTAGATCCCTTTTAATCTACTTATTTTTTAAGTTTTTATTTGAATTCCAGTTAGTTAACATACAGTGGAATATTAGTTTCAGGTGTACAATATATGTGATTCAACATTTACGTACAACATGTTCATCATTTTCTAAATAAAATATTTGACATGGTTATTTTGTCTATCAATAAAGATAGTTTTTTTTTTTTTTTTAAAGATTTTATTTATTTGACACAGAGAGACATAGCGAGAGAGAGAACACAAGCAGGGAGAGCGGGAGAGGGAGAGAAGCAGGCTTCCCGAGGAGCAGGGAGCCCGACGTGGGGCTCGATCCCAGGATTCTGGGATCGTGACCTGAGTTGAAGGCAGACACTTAATGACTGAGCCACCCAGGCGCCCCAATAAAGATAGTTTAAACGCTCTTTTCTGCCGGAGCACCTGGTGGCCTAGTTGGTTAAGCATCCAGCTCAGGTCGTGATCTCAGGGTCCTGGAATCGAGCCCTGGGTCGGGCTCCATGTCCAGCGTGGAGGCAGCTTGGGATTTTTCTCTCCCCTCTCCCTGCCCTCTCTCTGTAACATAAATAAATAAATCTTTAAAAAAAAAAATGCTCTTTTCTGCCAATTCACTGTACCTAATTCAAAGTATAATTACAAATCAGTAGAGTTTGTTTTAGGAATTATGCAGCATAACTATATTGTATGTGAATGTAAAAGGGAGGTGATTTGATTATGATTGTTTATGATAATTATATAGACTCTAAAAATATTTTTTTTAATATATTTGTTTTTTCTGTGCAACAGAGCCTATTGTGTTGGCATAGGGGTACTGCCAGAGGTGATTTTAAGACATTTTTTCTCTGTTTAAAATATGGAGATTATCCTTGTCTTTCTTTAAAATTTGTTGTTGTTGTTATATTCCACAAACAGGTATGGGTCTTTTGTGAGGCATATGGTATGATAGCACAGATTTTGGAAACTCAGAAGACTTGAGTTTTAATTCTGGTTCAGGTGCATATTAGCTATGTAACTTAATTTCTGTGAACTTTAGTTTCCTCATTGGTGAAATAATGCACACAAAATATTTAGCTCAAAGCAAGCTGCGTAGTAAGTTAAACAACAACAAAGGGAACATTAAGAAGAAAACTCAGTATTCATCAAAAATTCATTTAAAGAAAACTGCTTAAAGCAGATTTAGTATTGATCACTGGGTGATTGAGTACTACTACTATTTGTTGATTTTAACTTCGATAATTCTTTTTTACCTTCCCTCTGACCACTAAAAATGAGATTGAAGTGGTCTGCTTCAAAATACAGAAAATAACAGACCTATAATTCAGACATGCAGTATTTTGTGCTGTAGATGGTGAATAAAAGTTTATGTACTCTCATTTAAGAAGGAGACAACTGTATGAAACTGTAAGAGACGCCTACAGAGAAGCGCTGAATCTCAGGCCTTGGTGGCATGCTGCAACAGAACTGTGTTTAAGTGAGTGCTGTTAGCAGAACGATGACGCAGTCTGGACTCTGAAACTTGAGTCCTATAGACAGAGCAGAGCAACTGAAACCTTGTTGGAAAATAATAATTAACAGCACTTAACTGTCCTATCCCCAAGAAGTTTACGATAGAGAAGGCTATTCAGATAGGAATGGTGAGATTAAATTGAAATCTGGAGAAAAACAGGGCTCTAGGCCACTGTCCTACCAAAGTCCCTTCACCAGGAGTTACTACATTTATCTGAGTCCAAAGATCTTTGTGGTATGAACTGGTATGTTTTAAGTGAATAAAGCAAGTTAGGAAATAATTACACATTTCCATTTTCCATAGTGATACATTTTTGGGAGGGCTAAGGATATATCAAAACCTCCAATTTCTAAAAGAAATATAAGCACATTTATATAAAGACTAATGAAAATTTCTTCCAGAATTTTATCAGTTCCAGAATATGCTCATTCTACACAATTCAAATATAACATTATATATCCAAAGATTAACTTTGTGTCTTAGTAGTTTTAAAATATATGCTGTGAGGTTTTTGCCTGGAAGTATCTGTCTATACCCAGGCTTACTTGGTATAAGCTGCAAAAAGGCCAAGCAAGAGATGCCATAATTATTGACTGATGTAAATGGCACCTCCAGTGTTGGGTAAAATGTCAGGATTCTTTGTCTATATTATACATATGTTTATCAGTCTCACTAAGTAAATAAAAAAATAAAAATTAATTGAAAACACAGTATCTTCCAAACAGTGGGTTAAAGGAAAACACATTTATTAATGTCTCATACTAATTCCAAAATGTGGGCAAAATGTTTCAACTTACAACCGATAATATCCATATTCCCTTCGTAGTGCTTGAGGTACACTAAGTCGATAAAGCCTCGGGGGGAAATTGAGCCCATGGCAAAACTTGGTGTAATGGTATGACATAGGAATGTGTCCTGGAACAAACCAAACCATAAAGATTGCAACAGTTATTTGATATCTATTCTTTGTATCACTTCCCAAAGAATTACATTGCATAAGGTTAGCTACTATTTGGAAAAAGCAGGGCTTTGAAGTTATAAGAAGTTATCATCTTGCATTTTCAGTGTTAAAGGATCATTAGATCTATAAGTGCAAGGTAACAAAAGCAAAATTAAGCCAATGGGACTACATCAGACTAAAAAGCTCTGCACAGCAAAGGAAACCATAAATAAAATGAAAAGGCAATGTACAGAAAGGGAGAAAGTAATTTGTAAATCATATATCTGGTAAGGAATTAATGTAAGTGCAGAAAATTCAGAATGGAATCTTGCTGTCATCTATTCTTTGAATTTTTATTTTATTTTTTTATTATTTTTTTAAAGATTTTATTTATTCATTTGACAGAGACACAGCGAGAGAGGGAACACAAGCAGGGGGAGTGGGAGAGGGAGAAGCAGGCTTCCTGCTGAGCAGGGAGCCCGATGCGGGGCTCGATCCCAGGACCCTGGGATCATGACCTGAGCCGAAGGCAGACACTTAATGACTGAGCCACCCAGGCGCCCCTACTCTGAATTTTTAGTTGAAGACATTGAAGCCTAAGAGATTAAATCACATGCGAAACTAGAGATAAGTACAGAACTAGAACCCATGTTCCTGATTCCCAGGACAGTACTATTTCTACTGGTTCACACGGGCTAGGTAATATATTCTGAAAAATACATTGCTTTAGCACCCTGGTGCCTCAGGTCCTGCCTCTCTGCCTGCACCCTGTCTTGACCTCCCCATATGGCTCCTGGAGGTATGCCGTGTACTTTTTCCAGGACTTGTGAGTAATAAACTTCTCTATTTCAATTTCTCTTGTGGTCTTTTGTTGAAATGTGGCTCACCATCTGGCACCCTGTGCTCCATTTAACAAATGCCAATTTAACAAAGTTGGAATAGTCCTCCTCTCCCAGGCTGTGACTAAGGATTAATGAACTGCTGTTGATCTCATTTGTCTAGTGTGGGATGTCATGTGTTTGATCACCCCCTATAACCCTAGAGCAGGAATCCCTCCCTCATTAATGGGGGTGAATGAATCAGTTAAAACACATCCCTGGAGATGCATACTATGAACATTCATAGGAAGGTAAAATATTCTTACCGTGCAATGCTACTCAGAGATATGTAGTATATTGGAAAGGGCACAGAATTTGGAATTAGGAGATCAAGTGTTAAGTCATGGTTCTACCACATATTGGCTGTGGTGTCCCTGGGCAGATCACATAATTGCTCTGAATCTGTTGCTAGGTTTTTTTGATGCCAAATATAGTATTCTTTCCATTATTACAGTTGACTTGCAGTAATAGCAGAAATATATGACGTATGAATGGAACTGTATAATCAGTCATGAAAGAAACCGTCCGATGTTTGAATTTTCATTTCTGATGGACTATGTTTCTCAAACTGAATGTTTAAATCCCAAGAGGGTAATGGAAAGGTGTTTTTTGTGGATAGGAACTTCAGGACCTTTCTACAAAATGAAACATTTACTTTCCTGGGCTTTTCTACCACCTCTCCCCACTCCCAAGCTTTAAATTCAATTTAATAAAAGGAGGCAAAGGTAACCTACAGAATTCTAAGTAAATGATAAGGTGATGGCAGATATGTGGGACATTTGTTTTGATGTGTGGAATGTGGCTTGGAGACACAAAGGACCAAAGACCTGGAATTTTGCAAAAGCAATTGTTTGTGAAAATCATAAAAGTTTGCTTTATGACTCAATTTTTCAAAACAGCTTATTTTTTTAAAGATTTTATTTATTTATTTGACAGAGAGAGAGATAGCGAGAGCAGGAACACAAGCAGGGGGAGTGAGAGAGGGAGAAGCAGACTTCCCGCCAAGCAGGGAGCCCGATGTGGGACTCGATCCCAGGA